ATTATAACTTAATTTATGCAACCTTAAACGTCCCCTTCATTTTACAAAGATAATACTTGGACGTATTGAAATTAACGTTCATTTTATTTTTTAAAAAATAAAATTGAAAGCAATTTTTTACAACTTAAAAACTCCATTCTCAATTAATTACAAAAATAAATAAATAAATAAAGCATGAGAAAAGTTAAGTTTGTTTGTCTCATAATTTTGTTATTCAATGAAATAGATGTACACTGTTCACCAACTTTAATTAATTTTAGCACACATTTATAAATAAATAAATAAATAATCTATAATATACATATAAAATATTATTTCTTTTATAAATGATTAAATCATTTTATTTTAAAATTTATTAATAAACATTATTTTTAATAAAAAAATCATTAAAACAAAATATAGACATGTGGCCTTTAAATAATAATGTAAAAACTCAGCTTCATAATTCAGTGATTGTAGAGTTGATCTTAAGATTCAGGGTTAACTTGATACTTTCTGGTTAAACTTTTGTATGTGTAAAGAATGTTTAGTCAATAAATATCACATCACACAAACGTAAGTTGGTAGTTTTTGACCATGTTTCTAAAAGGAAAAAAAAAAAAATTAATAAACTAGTATTTGTTGGAGAAATAAAGAGAAAATAGAAGAGCAATTCAAAAAGGTATAGATGGTTTATTCCCTTCACTCCTATTAGTTAAGACTTGGAATCGAATCTGATATTCATTGTACTTTATATCCTTTCATGTGAACTTATACTAAAAATGAAGTAGATGATTCATAATTTCACTAAAAATATTCAAAGAAGTAATTACATATTGTGGCTTACTCTAACACTAAGTTTGTTTTTGATCGAAATAGCCACAAAATAGCATAGAGAGAAAAGAATCATTTCAACTTAAATATTTTTAGTCATTTGTTTAATATGACTTCAGTCACATCAGAAATCAAGTGGGATAGAGAAGAGAGACGTCAGCCTTTTCTTTTCCATACACTTTTAGTCCCTCAAACTCATTCAAATATGAAAAGCTTTAAGGTCAAATGGTTGTTTTTGTGTTTTAGTTGAATTGGTTCCATTTATTTGAATATGTTTATTATTTTATTCAAATTCAATTTTTTTGTTATTCAAATATATTTGGTATTTTATTCAAATTGGATTTGTTTTATTTGAATATGATTAGTGTTTTATTCAAGTATCCAAATATTTGGAATTATATCATTGATTAATTCAAATAAAAATAAATAGAAATAAAAAAATAGAAAAAAATAAATATATAAATTTTTGGTACAACATAAAAAGGTAAAACTATAATTATTTTAATTATATTTTTTTCCTCACTATCCATTCAAACTTTTTTAATATGGAACCCCCTTAGGAAAACCTAGCCCTTGTTTTGATCTAGAACATTTAGTGAGTGTAACCTGACCCTCAAGCTTGGGAGTCTCCTACTATATATCAAACCCATATTTAGGATCAGAATCACAAATCTCTTATCCTCAAATCCGTAGGTGACATTATGCCCTTATTATTCTTAAAGGGTTCCATAAATCATGACATTTAGGCCTGTTTCAAGTACATAATGTTGATATTGTACGATATCACAAATTGCAACGTCTATATAGCTTATGTCATGGAGTGACCCCAAAAATGTCGAGACACATCACTGACCATAGAATTGTTAATCTACCATTAGGCATGACATCTTCACAACACACATCGTAGTGTGTCAACCAAATGTCAAGACACAATATTAGGTCAACATTTTGATGACTCGAGTGCATGAGCACAAAGAGTCTTGTAGTGAAGGGTACTGTGATGATCTCTATGTGGATCGAATTAGTGATGACCTATTCACCAACTTGTATGGTACACCCAAAAATTGCGGTTTCTTCATGGCACATGTTGTATAATGTTCATTAAATGCTGAGATACTGTGTTGATCATGAAACTTTTGACTGACTCTTGGGTGTTGTGCCTTCACAACATACATTGCAAAATGTACCCAAAATGCAAAGACACGGTATTGGGTTGGTGATGTGACAACCAAGACAATACACTACTCCCCAAAATCAAGTGCATGAGCATGAAGAGTCTCGTCATGAAGGATACTCTAATGATTGCTTTGTGGATTGAATTCTTAGTAGCCTATGCATTGACCTGTACATTACACAACCTCTCAGGCCCAAGCACGAAGGTCTGAAGAGCTTGAGTGTTATCAAGTTCCCTATCAATGTGGATTATCGGCCTAAGAGAGACTAGTACGATATAGAACCCTGTGGGGTCAATCATGAAGATATGAAGAGCCTAAATGTTGTGTTCTTTGTGGGTGTGGGTAGTTGGCCTAAAGGAGACTATTGCAACACAGTCCCCTAAGTTCAAGCATGAAGTTGTGAAGAGCCTAAGTGTCATCATGTTCTATATTGATGTGGATAGTCATCCTAAGGGAGACTATTACAATACAACCCCCAGGCTCAATCATGAAGGTGTGAAGAGTTTGAGTGTTTTCATGTTCTCTGTCAGTTTGGATAGTCGACTATAGGAAGATTAGTATGCTTACGAGTATTAGGAATGGTGTTTACATGACTAGTGAAAATTGTGGACCCTCGAAATGATGTACGTCATTACACGCAATTAATGAGGCTATAAAGTAATTATAGGGGCCACATCCAATATTTTCTTGGGTGATATCATAGTCTTTGGATATAAAGTGGAGAAAAATTACCAAATAATTTTTAGCAATTGTATGCATATCATACATGGCAAAAAAGTTTCGTTCGAAGGTCGAGTACATAAATGAACATGTCATATCAGATAGCTTGGCTATATTTCTCTTTCTCTCTTTTTTTTTGTATGGATTTTGCTAAATAAACTTTTTTATTGAAATCATATACCAATCAACAATGACTTTCATTCAAATTCCAAGTATATAAATGAACATGACATACAAAGATTTCTTGATGATGTTGTTAAAGTCGTCTAACATAAGTTGTAGGGATTTCATCGAATAAACTTTAGTGATTGAAATAATATAATACTTGGTAATGACTATTATTCAAATGTTGAGTATTTAAATGAACATGTTGTGTTAAAATCTGAGAACCCTTTGTAATTCTTATTGAGTAAGTGTAAAATGACCATGTAATAATTGACTATTAAGGGTTTAAGATCATGTGGTAACTCATAGTAGTGAACCCCGTCATTGCATCGAGTAAATAAGTAAAACAAGTTTTTCACACCTTGTACATTGGCTCAACACCTTAAGATGGTCTTGGGGTTAAGGTTTATTATAGTCATCAAAATCCACACCTTAAGACGTTTTTCATGTTAAGGTCAATATTCATTGAAATTTTGACCTTTAGACGCTCTTTACACCAAGGTTTATAGTCATCAAAATTCTAGCTTTAAGACACTCTTCACGTCAAGGTTAGTAGTCATCAAAGTTTCAACCTTAAGACACCATTCACACCAAGGTTTATAGTTATCAAAATTTTGAAATTAAGACGTTCTTCATGTCAAGGTTAGTAGTCATGAAAATGTCGACCTTAATACATTTTTCAACCTAAGGTTTATAGTCATCAAAATTCTGACATTAAGACGATCTTAATGCCAAGGTTAGTAGTCATTGAAATTTCGACCTTAAGACTTTCTTCATGCCAAGGTTAGTAGTCATCAAAATTTTGAGCTTAAGATGCTCTTCAAGCTATTGTCATCAAAAATTCGACTTTAAGATGCTTCTTATGCCAAGGTTAGTAGTAATCAAAATTTTGACCTTAAGACACTCTTCATACCTAGGTTTGTAGTCATTAAAATTTTGACCTTAAAACGCTCTTCACGCCAATATTTGTAGTCACTAAAATTCCAACCTTAAGGTGCTCTTCACACCAAGGTTTGTAACATCAAAATTTTGACCTTAAAACACTTTTTACACTAAGGTTTGTTCTTCTTGTTGCCGACATTAAAATGTTTTTCATGTTAACGACTTTTATTTTTGTCATCAACCTTAAAACACTATTCACATCAAAGATTTTTCTTTTTGCCACCAACCTTAAAATGCTCTTCACAACAAGGATTTTTCTTTTTGCCACCAACCTTAAAATGTTCTTCACGTCAATGGTTTTTTTCTTTTTTTTGTGGACCTTAAAATGCTCTTTATGTTAATGATTTTTTATTTTTGTTGTCGGCCTTAAAATGCTCTTTACATCAATGATTTTTCTTCCACTCTCTAACCTTGAACACTCTCCACGTCAAGAATTTTTCTTCTTGTCACCGACCTTAAAACACTCTTCATAACAAGGATTTTTTCTTCTTATCGTCAACCTTAAAATGTTCTTCATGCCAAGAGTGTAATCAAAAAGTTGTTGAAAACACATCTTTATTCGTTAAAGTCATTGGATGGAGAGACACTTTATTGAAAAATAGGCAACATTAAGAACAAAGGAAGTAAAATTAAGTGGTCTAATTTCAATTATAATAAAAATGCAAATTTAATGCATTTCACGTTCAGGGTATGTTGCCACCATCCAAAGTTTGTAGCTTATATGTCTCGTTGCCGACGACCCACACAACCTTGTATAGGCCGACCCATTTTGAGGATAACTTATTTGGTTGATAATGCGGTTGAAAGCTTTCTTCAATATCAAGTCTCATTCCTAAAAGGTCCTTGGTAAGACCTTTGAGTTGTATTTCATTTATGCATGTGCCTTTGTTGTCACTTCTTTGTTGTCTCTTCGTAAGGTCTCCATCGTAGATTTGATCTCCTACAGGGCAGGATTATTGTCTACAGCCTCAAGACTTTCTCTTCATAACCTCTCTGTCTCCTCTACTTTCCTTCATGTTTCCTCATTTTCTCCCACAAAGTCTCCATCCTAGCCATGATCTCCCGAAGGATGGGATCATTGTTTATGGCCTCAAGATCCTCCCTTCATAGCGTCTCTACCTCTTCTACTCTCCATCGTGCTTCTTCATTATCTCATCCTAGGATCTCCATAGTTTCCAAGATTTCCTACAATGTAAGGCCATCACCAATAGGTCTCGCACCATCTGCTTTGTTGGTGGCAGCACCATCAAAGCTGTCAACACCGAACCCCTTGACACTACTCCTTAATAACCTCGTCACTTTGAACTATTTCTCACGTCCGACAACCAAGGTGTGAGAAAGAGTTTTACCAATGCCCCCATGATAGATGCCAAAATGTTCCAACATGAAACCCTTTCTAGGAAGACCTAAAGGTTGTTTCAACCTAGAACATTCAATAAGTATAACCTAGCCCTCAAGCTTGGGAGTCTCGTTATATATCAAGTCTATTTTGGAATCATAATCCTTTATTTCTTGTCCTCAAATCCATAGGTGATATCATATCTTGTTATTTTTAAATGATACCACAAATCTCAATATTTATTACTATTTCAAATACATATTGTTAATACTATTCAATATCACAAATTGCGACGTTTTCATAGCTCATGTCATGAAATGTCTCCAAAATACTGAGACATATCATCGATCGTTTTCGATCTACCATTAAATGCAACATTTCATAACACAAATCGTAAAATATCATCTAAATGACAGGACATAATATTAGATCGAAATTTTGATAATCCAAACAATATATACCAATCAAACAACTTTATAATATTATTTTTTTTTTCTATTTCTTACATATTTCTCTCAAACCAAACAATCTAATTTTTACTATATTTCTACTCCCTCATTCTCTCTTTTTATATTTTTATTTCCTTATTTCTCACCTATTTTTGTATCGAGAATACAACATATATTGTAAAAGGTAAAGAGTAGTGAGGTATTGTATGTCTATCCTAAAAGGAAGGTGGGGCCAATGAAACATAGCGTGAAGACAACAACATGAAGTCCGACAGAGAGAGGTACACAGTCAACACGGAGGAGAAGGGACACATGTGGGCCCCTCACCTATGACACAACCCCCGCTTCTCATTCGCTCTCGCTACTCGCTACTCGCTACTACCTACACACCGTTTTCGCCGTCGGTGCCGCCCCCACGTCAATTTATAGCTCTCCATATTTCCTCTTTTATAACCACAATCTAATTAAAACTGCTATTCTAGTTTCATCACTTTCCCAATACTTTTTCATTTCTTTTTCTCTACCTTTCTATTTATCGTCTCTAACCCACCTATTCTATTTTTTCTTTTTCTTTCTCTCTCCATATGTAAATTCTCTGTGATTCTCCACCAAATATTTATGGATCACAATAGGGCTAATTTAGCAGCGACTTCATCCAACTTATAATTAGTTTCAGAATTTAATAATTAATTAGTTGATTTTGATTTGCCAACCAATAAGTTTAATTTAAATAATATAAACTTCATTTTATAAATGAATTAAACTTAAATTATAAGTAGATCAACTCATTTAATTAAAAATATTTTTATTCATAATAATTATAATGATGCTAATAAAATTCAATCTAGTCTAATTTTAATATAAACAGAATTAATTTTTATTATTTTAATTGAATTTGAGTTAGTATTTATAAAATTAACAAGTTCTTGCACTTATAAATATTCTCCTATTTCATTTTGTTTGTCATTTAAGATTATGATAAGACTTTAAAAATATCATTAATGTTAAATTTTATAAAATAAATTATGTAATTTTTCAATATATTCTTATTTGTTTTTGTAATTTCTATCAAAAATTAAATAATACAATAATAATAATTAATAATGAAAAATTAATATTAAATTAATATTATAAAACTACAATCAAATTAAAAGAAAACGTTAAAGCATCATACAAATAAGGATTATTATATGAGGAAAAAATTCAAAGATATATCATTTTCAAAAATAAGGATTAAAGATGTAGACGAAAGTTTGTTACAGAAAATTTAAAAATAAAAAAAAAAAATTGAAGATGGCGTTTGAAATCATCTAAAAATATGATTTTAAATGGAATTTAATGACACGTATATGATATGAGTGAGCATATGTGAGTGGGTAAGTAGTATAAATATAAAATGAGATGGGAGTAATTTGTTGGAAAATAACAGAGGAATGCGGAATGGTCCTCACTATAGCATAGCATAGGGACCCACTTCCATATTCTAAAGATTTTAGGTTTCAAATGGTGGCCGTAGAATTGACGTAGCATTGAGATCCGCGCCGAAACGTGACAAGAGAGTACTCAAATCACGAGGTTGACGAAACCAACAAACAAACCCTCATCACAGAGAACCTTCAAACCCACGCTCCCCCATCATCAACCTTCTGCAAAAACCCCAACCTCTTTCTTTCTCTTTCTCTTTCTCTTTCTCTTCTTTTTCTCTGCTTTTCAATTTCAACACGCCGTACCATGTGGGCCCCACCCTCGCCCACATTTACGTTATGCATTATCCCATTACGGGAAATCAAAAACCATGCATTCAAAAATCACAACCCCAACATGCCTCCTACATCTCAACCAACCATTTTCTTTTTTATTAAGTGAAAATTATCCATTTTTATTAAATTGCCGATTATGGGTATAAACAAATGGATCTAACAGGGAATATAATAAGGGATTTTTTAATTAATTTGAATATGTCATTTTATATATATATATATATATAAAGTTAACGGCAACGGTAACAACAGTGACAAATATCATCATCCGTTGCGAGAAAAAGCAGAATGGGAAAAAAAAACACATAGGCCTGCTTTTTTCTTTCTTTTGTTTTTTTTTTTGGTTAATTATAACCCTATTTACACAACTTCCAGCACCATGTCAGCTACTACCATAACCGCCATATTTAGAAGAAGAAGAAAAAAAAACCGGGCCGCGAAAAAACCGGATCTTTCGGCGGTTCAAGCAACCTCGGGCGGAGGGGGCACGTTAAGGTCGAGATCCAAAACTCTCCGATGTGGGACCCGCTCGTAGTCCACCACGGAGGACGAGTCGGAGTCGCTGAACGAGGCGCGCCGCGCGAACGCGTCGAAGAACACGACGGGGCGCGCCACGGGGAAGACGAGGCCGCCGCCGCCGCCGGCGG